AGTGAAGGTTCAGTGGCGGGGTCAGCCGGCCGAGGAGGCGACTTGGGAGACCGAGCAGGATATGCGCAGCAGTTACCCTCATCTTTTCACTACTTCAGGTATGTTCTCTATGCTCGTTCGAGGACGAACGAATGTTTAAGTGTATGAGGATGTGACGACCTAGCCGGTCGTCTTAAGAGTTTACGCCCCGATCCCCCATTAACTGCTTCCCCTAAGTTCATTTCTGCTATTTTGGTTTGCCGGGACGTTCGGTGTTGAGTTTTGGAGAGTTTTGGGACACTTAGTCCCTAAATGAGAGCTTAAGTGTTGAAAAGTGGTCCGTAGTCGCAACAGTGTGAAGACAATCTCGGAATGGAGATCCGATGGTTCCGTTAGCTTCGTTAGGTGATTTCGGGGTTGGGAGCGTGTTCGGAATGTATTTTGGAAGTCCGTAGCTCATTTAGGCTTGAAATGCCGAAGTTGAATTTTATAAGTTTCCGGTCCGATAGTGAGTTTTTGATCCGAGGGTCGGATAGGAATTCCGGAAGTTACAGTAGTTCCGTCATGTCATTTGGAATGTGTGTGCAAAATTTCAGGTCATTCGGACGAGGTTCGGGTAGGTTTTTGATCGAAAGCGTGTTTTGTTGGAATTTAAAGTTCTTAGGCTTGAATCTTTGATTAATGCGGGTTTCCAGCGTTGTTTTAGGTGTTTTTAAGATTGGTACAAGTTTGAATAAGATATTAGGTGGTATTGGTGCTTTTGGTTGAGGTCCCGGGGGCCTCGGGATGATTTCGGGTGGTTAACGAAGGAAATTTCTAAGTTTGCAGTAGCTGGTATTTTGTTCCTTCTGGTATTTTCGCTTCTGCGCCTTGGGGACCGCAGAAGCGGCTCCCTCATCACAGAAGCGAGATTGGTCTTCCCCCTCAGGAACCGCAGAAGCGGTTATTTATCCGCAGAAGCGGAAACTGTCCTTTTAAATGAAACAGCAGAAGCGGTAATGAATCCGCATAAGCGGCAACCGCAGGTGCGATTTAAGACCGCTGAAGCGGAATCTGACTTTAATGAAGAACCGCAGAAGCGGCTCGTGGTCCGCAGAAGCGGTCCCTTGACCGCAGAAGCGGTAATCTCTGGGGTGAAATATCAGATTCGAGGGTTAGTTTCAAAAGTTGGAGAAATCAATTGAGAGCTCGGGTAAGGGCGGTTTTTAGAGGGTTTTGAAGAGAAAGCTATTGGGTAACGTTTCCTTAATCCTTTCTAGTTATATTTCATCATTATATAGTTAAATGCATCATTGGAATTCGAATTTAGGATAAAAAATTGGATAATTTGGGGTAAAACTTCATTGGCTAAATTATTGAGTTTTCAGTGAGCATTTGACCTCCGATTTGGGAGATTTTTATATGGTTAGACTTGTGAGAGTACGAGGGTTCTGAAAAATGTGAAAATTATTCGATTCCGGGGCGTTGGCCTGAAGGGCATTTTGGTCATTTCTCCTAATTTTATGCCGTAGCCTTGAATTTATTAGCAAAACCAGGTGTTTGCGGTGTTATTTACATTGTGTAATTAAATTGAATAGATTTGAGACATTTGGAGTTGGATACTCGTGGCAAGAGCGTGGTTTCTAGTTGATATTGAGCCGATTCGAGGTAAGTGGCTTGTCTAACCATGTGTGAGGGACCTTTCCCCTTAGGATATGATCTTTGAATATTTGAATGCCTCGTACGTGAGGTGACGAGCGCGTACTTGAGCTAATTGTTGTAAACCCGTTTCTACTTGAAGTATTTAAATTGAGATTTCTTGTTTACTTGTTCATTTTAACTGTATGTTTATACTTGTGCTAGCTTAGAGACTCATGTTTAGGTGGCTTACTTGCTTATTTGTTTTAGCTGTGCTATTTGTACTCTGTGAAGCATGTTAGGCTATAATCTACTACTTCTTGTCCTGATTTTTAGCATTGTTACGAGATTTATGAATTGTTGTTGTTGTGTGTTTAATTTGGGACTACGGGACGGCTTCCCGGGAGATTCCCCTGTACTTGAGTTATTCTGGACTGAGGGTGCGGGATACCAAGAGATCCCCGACTTGCTTATTGAGGATACTAAGAGATCCTCGGGATACCGAGAGATCCCCCGTGTTGATGATGAGGATACCAAGAGATCCTCGGGATACCAAGAGATCCCCGACTCGCTTATTGAGGATACTAAGAGATCCTCGGGATACCGAGAGATCCCCCGTGTTGATGATGAGGATACCAAGAGATCCTCGGGATACCAAGAGATCCCCGGCTACTATTCCTTGTTGATGGCAGTTTTCCTTGTATTGTTACCTTTGCTTTCTATTGCCGTCTATCCTTATTTACCTGGTTTAGATTCTCGCTGTGGACTTTATTTAAACTGTTTCTGTTATCTTATTATTTATTATGTTATCTCAGTAGGGCCCTGACCTTCCTCGTCACTACCCAACCGAGGTTAGGCTTGGCACTTACTGAGTACCGCTGTGGTGTACTCATGCCTCTTCTGCGCATGTTTTTCGTGTGCAGATCCAGGTACTTCCTCCCAGGCGTATCATCCTCGTGGTGGAGAGTCCTAGCTGAGACTTGAGGTATATCTGCTGCGTCCGCAGACCAGGAGTCTCTACTCTATTCCGGCTTTAGCAGATAGTTCCTTTCTTTCCTTTCATGTTGTTTAGACATTCTGGTGTAGAGCAGATTACTACATTCTATTAGCCTGTGTTTCCCGTGAGTTTCCGGGTTTTGGGATTCAGTTGTAGACTTTCGCATATTTTTGAGTTGTATAGGCCGAGTGGCCTTATATACAGTTGTTATTTCCGTATGTTCAGTTTTAATTAATTATTCCGCAAATGTTAATTTGTTATTCCGCACTGTTAGGCTTACCTAGTTGTAGGAACTAGGTGCCATCACGACATGTTCATGGAGGGTGAACTGGGGTCGTGACAGTTCCACTGTCTTGAAGCCTGTTTCAGGCCATAGAGTGATTTCAATAGTCTGAAAGCTTTGTTCTCCCCCTGTCCTAGAAACCCTGTGGCAAGACCATGTGTACCTTTTCGTAAAGATCCCCTTGTAGGAATTCATTATTGACATCCATTTGATAGATGATCCATCCCTTGGAGGCTGCTATACTCAGAACAGTTCTCACCGTTACCATGTTGGCAACTGGTGAGAATGTCTCATGATAGTCCAACCCTTCTTGTTAGGTGTATCCCTTTTGATAACAACACGATAGGAGATTAAAGAATTACTAAAGAAAAATAAAAAAAATCAAGAAACGTGCGGAAGCTAAGAAAATAGAGAAACAAAAAAAAGGACGGAAAATTAAAGATAGATTGAATTCAAGAAAGAGTTCTTGAATTCAAGAAGTCTATTCTTGAAGTTGAATCCTAACAACAACAATTAGCTAACAAAGAACTAATCGCCTTTGGTAGAGAATTAAAAACAAGAGATAGATTGTGAAACCCGACCCTTTAGAATAACAAGAACAACAATAAGCCTAAACTTATCACCTTTCTTGAATACCTAGAAGTGATCTAAGATTTCGAAAGAGTTTAATCTTACCACCTTAAGTTGAGTCTTGAAGGTTGAAGAATAAATCCAAGAGTAGCCACACACAAGAGTGCAAGAAAAATCTCACAATTTTTATTGATAATAGTCTAAATAATCTAAGTCTAAAAATAAAGAAGACACCCCTTTATATAGAGAGGGGTCACGAAATTCTACCTAAAAAGCAAGGAAATAAAGTCCTAAACTACTTTGGACAACAAGTCCAACTACCATAGGAAAAGGTAAAGCTCTAGGAAATAAAAACCAAGTCAATCTTGGAAAGTAATTCCAATGATCTTAGGAAAAGAAAAACAAAACCTTAACTACCTAGGAAAGCATCAAATATGTCCTAACAAACTATGAAACAAAATAAGGAAACTTGGGCGCCAAGTTGGCTCCTTTCTTGCATTCTTGTGTGTGGCTACTCTTGGATTTATTCTTCAACCTTCAAGACTCAACTTAAGGTGGTAAGATTAAACTCTTTCGAAATCTTAGATCACTTCTAGGTATTCAAGAAAGGTGATAAGTTTAGGCTTATTGTTGTTCTTGTTATTCTAAAGGGTCGGGTTTCACAATCTATCTCTTGTTTTTAATTCTCTACCAAAGGCGATTAGTTCTTTGTTAGCTAATTGTTGTTTTTAGGATTCAACTTCAAGAATAGACTTCTTGAATTCAAGAACTCTTTCTTGAATTCAATCTATCTTTAATTTTCCGTCCTTTTTTTTTTTGTTTCTCTATTTCTCTTAGCTTCCGCACGTTTCTTGATTTTCTTGTTTTTCTTTAATAATTCTTGAATCCCCTATCGTGTTGTTATCACCTTTGCTACTAGTCGTGCCTTAAATATGTCAACCTCTCCAGTTGATTTATATTTAATCTTAAACACCCATTTATAACAAATTGGTTCCTTCCCTTCTAGTAAGTCGACCACTTCCCAAGTATGGTTCTCTTCAAGTGCTCTAATTTCTTGGTCCATAGCTTCTATCCATCTTGGATCATTTGCAGCTTCCTTAAAAGACTGTGGTTCAGCTAAAACTGAAAAAACACTGAGATATAACTGATATGTAGGGGATAGATGATCATAAGAGAGAGCATTAGAGATGGAATAGACAGTGTTGGTGTGTGTCTTGGCAGTGGTGATGTAATTCTTAAGCCAAACAGAGGGCCTTCGTTGTCGACTAGACTTCCTAGTCTCTACTTCTATAGATGCTGGTTGTGAGTGCACTTCTTCTGTTCCTGCTTCTTCTATTGTTGTCTCAACTTATGGTTCAAGGATACCAGGAATGAGATTCTCACTTATTGGGGCAGCAGTTGTAGTCTCATGGTCTTCACCAGACTCTGCATGATCTGTGATTGTGTCCATATTAGCATTCTCCACTTATGTAGTAATGTTTTCAGCAACTGGCACTTGCATGTTCTGGGTTGTGGTTGGAATCACAAGTGCATGTGGTTGGTGTCTATCTATTTCTACGGCTGAAGGTTGAGAAGTGAATAGATCCTCTGTACAGTCTGAATCAGTAGTTCTCGCAAAAGGAAAGACCTGCTCTTTATTACCACATCTCTGCTAACAAATGCACTTCTATTCTCCAGATCATACATCCTATAACCCTTTTGTGTTTCTGAGTATCCAATAAGGACAACCCTTTTTGCTATAACCGTGAACGTATCACCTTTAGGCATGTTACTTGCATAACATAAGCAACCAAACACCCTTAAGTGATCTAATTTGGCTGGCTTTCCATACAATAACTCATAAGGGGATTTTCCTTTCAAAATACTAGTGGGCAGTTTGTTTATCAAGTATACTGCAGTTCTTACACAATCACTCCAGAATCTCCTAGGAATCGAGCTTTGAAATTTCAAGGCTCTTGCAACCTCCAGTATATGCCCATGTTTTCCAACTACCTCATTTTGTTGTGGGGTGTATGGGTAACTACTTTGGTGTATGATTCCTAGAGAAGCAAATAAAGCATTGCATTGAGAGTTGAAGAACTCGGCACCATTATCTGATCTAGCAATCTTCACAGTAGCTTCAAACTGAGTATTTATCATTGTAAGAAAGTTCTTTATTACAACAACTACTTCACATTTATACTGTATTAAGCACACCCAAGTAAACCTGCTGTAGTCATCTACTATTGTAACAAAATAAAGCTTCCTGTCATATATAGGTACCTTATGAGGTCCCCATACATCCATGTGTATGAGTTGAAAACAACTACTTGATCTGGTGCTACTAAGTGGAAACTGTAGTCGACAACTACTTCACAGTTGTCCTGCTCTCCAGCTCGTATCTTATTCTTTAGTTCTGAAATATGCTGCATAGATTTTGTTGATGCATGACCTAGCCTCAAATGCCACAATGTTATTTCTCCGTGTTCCTTCAAGAAACTAATTGTTGCTGTTGGTAAATTTTCTTTTATCACATATAATCCATTATTTTCTCTACCAATCCCTATCACCTTGACATTGTAGAGCCCCTGAAATATACAGAAATCAGGATAAAAACCAACTGAGCAACATAACTGTCTAGTGATCTTTGACACTGACAATAAGTTGAATTTAAAATCTGGCACATACAATACTCCTTCAATAGTTTTATCCCCTAAAACTACTGCATCTCCTGTATGTGTGATTTCTGCTCTACTGCCTGTAGGAAGATGTACTTGCTCTATGATCTGCTTTTCTAATATTATTTAGAGCATTCTTACAATGTGTCACATGGTGAGTAGCACCTGAATCCACTATCCAAATATGATCATTAGCAGCTGCATTTGTCATTAAAGTAATGCTACCTGTAGTATTAGTGGAACATTCATTTATGGTAGTCTTCTGCAACAAATTCACCAATTGTTTGTATTGATCCTCAGTGAAGAAATTTCCTTGTGTTGGCAGCATAGGCACCTGTTTCTCTTCACTTGTTGCATTGTTCACATAGGTCCTGCTTCCTGAGTTTTGCCCTTTCTTCTTGCTTTTGAAATCTGATGGATACCCCACTATCTTGTAACAAATTTCCTTTAGGTGTCCTTTGTAACCACAATAATCACATATTAATCCTGGCCTCTTGACTCGTGACCTTTACCAGCCAACATTGTAAGAGGATCATTCAATGTGTCTGTGACTCCTAGAGTTTTTTGACTTTCTTCTTGTGTAACTATTGCATAGGGTTCATTCACTGTGATCACAATTCTTTTGGCCAAGACATTACTTCGAATGTTACCATAACACTCGTCCAATCCCATAAGGAACTATAATAGGCGAATGGTTTTCAAGAGCTCTACTGAAGGCCTGCACTCCTCACAGTCACACGAAGCCATAGGTGCTATGGCATCTAGTTCATCCAATAGATCCTTCATTTTCGAATAATAGCTAGTGACCAAGTCTGTTCCTTGTCTCAAAGTCGCAATAGCAGTCCAAAGATGATAAATCCTTGTTGGATTTGACCTATCAAATCTCTCCTGAAAATCAGCCCATATCTTTTTTGCATTCGATGCATATACGATGCTAGGCATTAATTCATTCGAAACAGTACTACCAATCCATGATAGAACAATTGCATTACATTTCTCCCATTGCTCTGCTAATTCACCTTTATACATACCCTTTACACAAGATCCATCCACAAATCCAAGCTTGCTCTTTCCCCGGAGTGCCAATTTCATCACCCTGCTCCACAGGGCGTAATTTTCTGGGCCTGTGAGCTTGAGCGAAATTAAGACTAGTCTTGGAGTGTCTGAGGCTTGCAAAAATAGCGAATGATGAGCTGACTTCGTTGTCTGCCATGGCTGCTTGAAATTGAGCTCGAAATTGAAGAATTTCTCAGCTCTGTACTTCGCCTCTGTATTTCTACCAGAAAACTTGAATCTCTCCGGAACTAGATCGGAATTACAGTCCCAACAATTTTCGCTCTGATACCATGTTAGATTTGTGAGGATGAATTCAGAATGGAGAAAAAGAAGATCGAAATTGTATTGCCAAAGTCAGTGAGACCTCCATTCATTACAATGCTATATATGGGCTTCTCCACTAACTAAATGACAACAATTGTTCAGTTGTCAACTAACCACTTTAACTAACTAACCATTCTTAACTAATTAGCACACCCTATACTTTTGCTATATATACTTTTACCCTATATTCCAAGAATTCTTTCGTTTCTGTTAGAATTTTTGTTCCCCTTTGAACTATGGCTGCCTAGAAATGCTACAAGTTCATGTAAAAGGTTTTCTGAATTTTTATTCGCTATGCTCTAAGAAGAGAGGTGAAAAAAAAATATTATTTTGACAATTATAATGATTCTCTCTTCTTAACATTGTTGTTTAATCTTAAAAAAAATAATTAACTATGACATATTATATACAAAGATACTAATAAGAGAAGCCTGACCACACAAGGCTATCTGCAGATTCTGGATAATGATCCTATAGTAACCTAAAAATGCATGATGTCTGAGAAATATGCTTGGCCAAAAGCAAATTTTTCATGTGGTTGCAATTGCTAGGAAGCTACTGGACTCAGGTAAGTCCTAACTTTCAATTTGTTTCAAGTTATTATTCTTCCATGTTAGTATGTAGTGTGACTTAATCTGCTTAACTTTGAATACTGTACGTATCTCTTATTACTTTGCTGAATTTCAGGAACAAAAAAGAAAAATAAATTTTTTGCTATCCAAATTAACTTTTTAACAATACTAAAGGTAGGTTGAGATACTGAAAGAAGAAAATTTTTTATCTCTTTCTCAATTATGCTAAATCTGGATATGTTTTCTGTGAAATATAGCTTTTTCTTGTGAACACAAATGTCATTAGGCTTGATATAAATACTGGGTTGCTTAAGCTGTACCTGCAAATGACAACGAGCTTGAGCTAATTCGAAGCATCTTACATAAATGCAATATGTAAGATTCATTATTGCTATGTAAATGTTATTTATTTTATTTATTGAAAAATTGAATCGTTATTATATACAAAGGCCAAAATGGATTGGTTAGTTTATACAACTTATTCATATTTTTTTGTTGCTCTCTTTATCTTCTTTGTTGATATATGATTTTCTTGCTTTGATCGCTTTCTCCTAGGATTGTTGCTGCTTGACATACCCACTTTGGTGTCTTTGCTCTGGGGCTGCTATTGTTTTTCAATTTTCATATGCTTTATTAATGTCCTTTTCAGGTAAATTTTGCAAACTGACTATGTTTTTTTGGTTACTTCTCTATCTAAGCGAATTCCCATTTAGCTTGTTTGAGATTCTAGAAGATATTCCATATTCCCATAGTAAATAAGTAGGACATAATTTTTACAAATAATGAAGCGTTATTGATGCTTATGTGTAATCATCCTTGGCTATAACTGTTCCTTTCTACGTTCAACCTAAATTAAAAATACATATGTAAGAACTTAAAATTTAAGAGTGTTATATGCCCTGATGTTGCTGCATATCCATTACTTCTAAATAGAGTTTTTAAAGCTAGAATAATAAATATAGCAGTTGAGAAAAGCAATTGAGAATATATATATATA